TTTTTTTTTATTTGAAGGAATTGAAAATCTTGAAAGGTGGAAACATTTTCCGCTTAAGCGAAAATATGCCGACGGAGGCGATTTGCTTCCTTTTCAAAAAATGGAATGGCAGTGAACTAACCATGCAATTGCAGGAGCTTTATAATTTTATTATATGGCTTTGTGATCACAATTTTCCGCATAATCTATTTATGACCCGTGATCGCAGTCCACTGAAAGATGAAACTCTGAAAGTGTTTGTGTTTACACGGAAATATTTTTGCTATATTAAGGAATTAAATACTTATAATATTGGGTTTTGCGAAATGGCTGGATACGTAACTGTTGGAGGTAGGATGATTTTTAATATTACTCTACCTTCGAACTTTTATTAACGCTTTTCTTTTATAGATTTACACTTATATGAAAATCTTACGGAGCGACAGGTGCTTTCAAAAATTCAAGATGTAACTGGAAATGTCTACAAACTAATTTACGAGTATTTTGAAAATTAAATGAAATTGAGGTAGTTTCTGCAATTCACTTCCAATTGAATTTCAGCAACATTCAATTTGAATTCAAAGCGACTAGTTAAAATACACTCGGAAGTAAGTTACAGAACCTGCCCAAATCTGGCAACCACAACAATATTAGATAAGTAGAATTTATCAGGATATCCTAAGCGACTTTGGTTATTCCTCTAACTGTTACCTTTTTACTATACAGTAAACCAAAGAAAAAGTTGTACATTTCTTCAAGTGGGGTTATGCGCTGCAAACGGCATTGACCTCCACCGGTACTCATCATTTCCTTTTTGTTATTTGATAGCTTGCGTTTTATGTAGCATTTCCAGTCAATCCACTCCTGTAACAAACCGCTCCATCTATTTTACAAATTCCTGTCATTTTCAGTAATACCTAACCTTTCTCCATGCATTGGAGTCCTTAGATGGGGGACCTAATGCATTTAGAGAAGCTGCTACCTCGTTAAAAAACGCCTGCACTTCTTTGGGTCGCTGTTGAAACACTGGGTTCGAATCGTAACAGTCGTGAACGAGCAACTCGTCACATTCCCACGACAGCCGGTTCTACGTACCGGAATGACTCGGGTTT